AGTACCAATAGCTTTCTTCGAATGGTCTATTTTTGCTGGTTTTTCAACCAAAAATGTCTGTTCAGCCATGAAGGCTTCAAACATCTCTTCTTCAACCACTTCCTTCCTTTGGCCTAGGCCGACTTCTTCCTCTATCTCACTATCACTTTCCATCAGAGCCTTTTCCAATCCTGCCAAACTGGTCCTTTCTTTGGCTTTTAGTTTAGAGTGAACTTTGACCAATTGTTCTCTGCTGCGACCCATTTTGTCTTGAAGAGTTAATTTTGGATCATGATTTGACTTTGAATTTTCTTCTCTTTCTGCTTGGCTCTTTGGCTGGACTAATGAAGAGCTTTCTCAACTTTCTTTCAGGTCCTTCTGGTACTGTGTGTACCTTCGTTGGATCTTCCTTCTTTGGGACCTAGAAATTACCGGGACCATATTTGGTTCCTTTGTTTTTGGGTGCTTAAGTAACACCCAATTGTTTGGAACCACCAAAGGAGATTTAACCATCCTACCTTGGTTTCCAATGACATTCCTTTGGGTAAACATCTCTCTGGGTTTGTTCTGCATGACAAACCAATCTGGAACTCTAGGTACCCATGAACCCACTGGTCCAGTTGTTGAACTGTCTCTTTTGTCCTTCGAATCCATCTTTGAAACTGGCTGTGAAGGCCACTGTTTGGCCCTGACTTCCTATTTCGGGCCCAATTTAGGCCTTCGATGAAGATGGCCATTTTATGTCCTATGTGAGATTGGTCTAGGATGCCAACCCCTGGCTTTGATCCCGTAACTTGAACCCATTTCAAATATTCTTTCAAGATAATTGCCCTCCATTCTGTAATGGTTAGGTGGCCTAGATTCGTGTAGAGGTCTCTTGCCTTTGGAGTGCACCCTAGTGACTGTTGGCTCAGCCATTAATGGCTGCTGCCTAGTACCAATTGGATATGGCCTTTTGTAATAAGCATTGGTTGGTTTAGGACGCCTCTGCACATCCTTGTAATATTGTTTCCCATCAATTGGAAGTCCTTTCAACCACTTCTAGCTCAGTCTGCATCTGGGACACATTCTTTGCATGACAACTGTTTCTAAAGAATAGTCATCCAGTGCTTCTTCATCAGAATCTTTCATCTGGTCTGAGAAACCTTGTCCAATTGCTGGTAGATTTCCAGTGTCTTCCTTGACAATTATCTGACTGGCAACATGCATTTGTACATTGACTTCTTCCAATTCTTTCAAGGACAAGTTCTGGAAGTCTAGCACAATAACATTGGTTGGCACTTCTCTAATTTTTGGGAACGGATTAGTGTCAATCCCCATTTCTATTTTAGCTGGGAATTTTAGACTCCCCTTTCGAATCTGCTCTTGGATCCTGTCTCAAAAAACAATGTAGTTTTAGTTGAGTGAGACCAAGAATTATGCCATTTACAATACACTTTTCCTTTAAGTTCCTCTGTAGAAGGAATTTTGACTCCTTTTGGTAACTTCAGGAAGTTTGCGGCAAGCAGACGATCAAAAATATCATCTGCCTTTGTTAAGTCGAAAGAGTATTTCCTATGAAAGTCTTTCTTTTTAAACTGCTAGTCAATTGTTGTATCCTTATCAATTAATGCCTCACAGATCATAAGTTCTTTCCCCACAATCTCTGCTGCATCAATCTCATAATTAGGATCTCTATAATATGTCTTGTACGATGCAATATTTCGATCTTGTTCTTCCTCTAGTAATGCTTCATACCTAGACACCTTATAAGTTAGTTCCACTAAGTTTCTGAACTCAGTCGAGTCAAACTTCTTTCGAAGCCTAAACTCTAAGCCATTTTGAGCCAATTTCACGAATTCTGGCTTTAAGTCAAACTTCTTTCGAAACCTAAACTCTAGACCATTTTGAGCCAATCTCACAAATTCAAGCTCTAGTAAGATGATCCTACATTTATTTTGTGCTCTTTTAAATCTGGCAATAAACTGAGTAGCCTTCTCATCAGGCCTTTGACTCAATCTTGCCAAGTCTGCCATGGAAACCTCTAGCTCTGTTTGGAAGAATTGAGCATGAAATGCCTCTTCCATTTGTTGCCAAGTTTGGATAAAGCTAGGTGTAAGGTTAATATACCATACAAAGGCTGCCCCGGTTAGAGAATTTGGGAACAATCTTAACTTCATATACTCATCGTTGGCAAACTCACCACACTAAGCAGCAAACCTAGCAATATGTTCAACCGTTGACTGGTTTCCATTTTCATAAAAAAGAACGAAGTCGGGTACCCTAAACCCCCTTGGGTATTCATGTACCCTATCTATCCATTCTGGATATGGCTTCCTGTACATAGGAGTTTGAACCCCCCGAGCCATTGGTCCACACATCTCTCTAACAATATTAACAATTTGGTCCCTAGGGACCATGTTTTGTGCTTGTTGAACCACTACCGGAGGAACAAACACAGGATTTGGTAGACAACCTTATGCCTGGGGTCCTCTTGGTCCATAGGGTGGCATGTTTGGGACTGGTTGTCCCTGTGGTGCTGGCTGCTATTGAGGGTATGGATGACCTCTTTGAGCCTGTCCTGCAAAAGGTGCTGGAATAGGTGTTGTGTCTCTTCCATTTGTAGGAAAACCTTCTAACCCCCCGGGTATAAATTCAAACAAAGGATTAGTGAACCCCCTCGTGCCAGGTATCGCTTCGAACATGGGATTTGGAACCATCCTTACACCATTATCTTGTGTTGGGCCAGATCCACCAATTTGCATCGCTTCACTGTTAAGTAATTAGATATTTTGATTTGCCATAGGTCTCGAAAGAGGCTCATACCAAGACTGAGGTGGTGGTCTTTTATGATTTTGGTTACTAGTTTGACCATTAGTATGCCCATTACTCTGCATAGGCTGTTTGTTTCTAGCCAATTTTTGCTAAGGGACATTTGAATTTTCCTCTATATGCCTTGCATTAGTTGGTTGATGAGCATTCATTCGATCCAAAAAGGATGTTGCCCATCTCTCCATTGTGTTCATTAACAGATGTCCCATGGCATCTACTAGGCCTCCCCATGGATTCATTGGCTGAGTAGATGGAACAGTGGATGGTCCAATTCCTTGGGCTCGTCCAAAACTTTGAAAATGAGGTACTTGTTCCGAAGTGCTGGTCTGTTCGACCATGGGTTCTAATATGACAGATGCCTCCACAGGATGTGTCATCACATTTTCCTCTAGATTAGGTATTTCTACCTCTCCTTCCATGCCTTCTTCCAAGCGTTCATTTTCTCCTTGTCTCCTACGTCTAGCCATTTTAATTAGTCCTACTGGGGGTGCCAAAAATATATGTTGACTTTTTGGCTTTCGAAGGTTATATTTGTAATTATGAGCGTGCCAGTAAGGATCAATCAGTCCTTACAGAATGTTAATTGCCAACCAGTTAGCAGACGATTATGTTTTAGTTCTTTCAGTCTCAATGAAGAGGACTTTTACTGGCGGCTTTATTTAGAAAGAATTAAATAAACAACAATTAAAGGAAGGACAATTGTAATATTTCATTAAGTAAAAATGAAATACTTACAAAGATCCAAGTCAGCCTCGTAGAGGTTTACAGCAACAATCTACTTGAAACTACTCCTATGAACGAAGTGCAGTGCAAGAATTTTAAAGTACAGAAATACAAAGAACAGGGAATGTAAAACTGGAAAGGAAATAAAGTAGATAAAACTGGTTTCTTTGGATCTGAGACTGGGGGTCTCCCTGAGGCCTTCTATGCTCTTTATACTTCTTAATGACAACCGTCGAAATGGACTTCTAATTGTCGAACCATCCCTCCATGATCATTGATCATGCTTCCTTGCAGTTAGCTCCACTATGTCATATGCAGTTAGGCTTCCCTCATAATTTTGAATTTAAATATATGAGTAACCGTTAAGGCCACGTCACTTTACATCTCTTTGCTGATCTAGTGCTACGCAGATCTTGTAAGAACCAATACTAACTGCCACATGTACGATCACGATCAAAGGTTTGAATTGTCTTCATGTATTGCCCTTAGTTTTCCACGCATCGAACTGTGATTGGCCCGTACAAAATATATAGCCAAAAGTATGATTGGCCATGTTAGGGCTCAATGTTAGCTCATGGTGTTCAAGTAATCATAACTGTCAAAATTGATCATCTCCTCCTATATATCCAATTGGCAAAGACTAAATTCAAATCAGAAATTACCAAATTCTAAATAGAAAATTTTGAGATATGAATGTGGTTGGGGTGCGAACAAATGTACTAAATGTAAAAGAATCTCACAGAAGGGGACACAGTGCACTTAGGCTTTCTCGATTGGGAAATGTATAAGAGTCATGTCCGGGATGTTTCTAAAGAATAAATATGAGCAAGTGCAAAACACTGTGCTTCAGTACTAGCATCTGGCCAAGACACAGCTCCAAAGTTTCTCATATGCTTCCTGAAGTCTCATGGAAATATTTCACAAATATGTTTGAAAAACTGTTGCATTGCATGCCTATTTTGGTAACAAGTTACAATGCATAATGACTAGTTTCGTCGGTAAAAGTTTTGCTAGTGAAATGAAGTGATTTAGTGATTTATGTTTTTAGTATAACTTTTCAAAGAGTTTTAAATATTCAAATTATTGAATTGTAAAATTAAAGTGATTCTCGAATTAGATCACAAAATAAACTCATTAAGCCCAAACACACTCTTAAGTTGAGATGGCTAATTTGGGATAATCCAAACTTTTCCAAAGAATGTGGTTATATTATCAATTTCATTATGTTTGGTTTTATTTTCAGAATTTTGTTTCAGAATTTTTTTCTAAAAAACTTCAAGAAAATGGTAAAAAAAAAATACTTATTATTTTTGCATAATTTTATTTTTTAGTAGGTCATAAATAATTTTTAAAATTTTAAAAATATATTTTTGATTTTTATATTTCTCAAATTAGTTTAATTTTTTCAAAAAAAAAATGAAAATTATTTTTATTGTTGTTTATTAGCTATCACTACAAGGAATTTTTTTTTTAATCAAATACAAACTCCCTGCCTTTGTTGAAAATTGTGTAAGTGTGCAAAACTGAAAATGGGGGGTTCAAAAGGGAGACTGCGGCAGCAGCAAGATTTCAACTTGGAAACGTTGCTCTCTCTTTGGCGGTGAGACTGCTTGGGCAGCGGCGGCGACGATTGACGGTTCGAAAGGGAAGGGTTTCGTTCTCTTCTCTTCGATCTGAAAAAATATCAGTTCGATTCTAAGGTATGTTCAGATTCCACCCTTCTCTCTCTCTCTCTCTCACACACACGCACACACACACACACACACATTCACTCCATATTTGTTCAATTATTTGGTGTTTTTAACTGCAATTTCGAGTATGGGTTTGGATTAATGTTATGGGTTGTTGGATCTATTTGAGTGTTGGGTTTGCTTGGTGTCTACATTGAGACTCTGGTTCATCAACTGTTTCAAATGTTGCAACAGAGCCTAATCGAACCTGCATGAAAATAAAATTAATGGTTACAAATCTATGTTTATACAAAGAAGGTTTGATATATATATATATATATATACCTTTCGGACGAATCCCAAGACTGTGGAAATGGCCATGGATGAGTCGGTTCTTTAACATCTCATGAGAATCCAGGCATTTTAGCAACGAAAAGTCCTAGATTATTTACACTCTGTTTGGATTGATAGTTTTTGGTGAGAAAAGAAAAGAAAGGTTGGGAAACGAAAAATCTCAATCAACTGTTTGCATAATTAAGGGGGTTTTTTTTTTTAAAAAAAAAAACATAATTAAGGGTTGGTTTGTGAATTGATTTTTAGTAATATTTTAATTTTTTACGAAATAATATCATAAAAAAAAGAAGTAAGAAGACAGTGTACATAATCTATTTCTTTAGAATTTGATTTATCTGTAGCAAAACCTTTTTGTTGCCGATTTCATTGCTTTGATGCTTTTGTGGTCCAACTTTCCCAAGTTCCTATAAAAAAGCAGCTTTTGTGGTCTTGTTAATAGGCCAAAAATCACTGTTTTATTGGGTTGTTCATTTTCAAAATGTATCTAAAAGAAAAAGGAAAAAAAAAATGATGCTTTCCCAACTTTTTCCCAAAATTCAGAAGCAAATTGGAGTTCTAGTATATCTCCACCAACATATCTAAAGAATGACTGTTAGACTGTTAAAAATATGTGAATGGTATCTTGAAATTATAAATATTTTGATAATATATGTTTCTTATGCTTTTGTGGTCTTGCTAATAGGCCAAAAATCACTATTTTTATTGGGTTGTTCATCCATATTTTTGGTAGAGCTCAACCTGACTTCCAATTACAATAAAATGTCAATCTTTCTTGTTTATGATCACTCACACCATTTGGAAAATATGCCGAAATGCTTTTGGAGTTTAAATAATATTTGTGAAATCAATTACAATTTTCTGAGTGTGACTTTCTAAAGATTTTCAATCAACCCCAATTCAGGTCATACATTAGCAACAATTTTGAGTTGCCAGAATTGAATTAGACAATTTATAGAACCACTTCCCTTTAGATCCACCCTAATTCAGATAATGTTTTTAGACACCAAACATGTGTATGCATTGTGACACTTCCAGCATTGTCACTATCCGGCAGCCTTTCTCTTTCTATGCTATTGTAGACACCCTATTTTTGACCGTCCTCAAGACTTGGTTGTGTTTGCAGGTACATCCAGCCACAAGTTCGATTGCTTGTCGAGTGCTCGACTTTCGCGGCGGAACGTCACAGGTTTGAGCTTTCCAAACCCTGTATCCTTTCTGCCCCATTTTTAGACCATGTGTTGGTCTTTCCAGCATAATTCTCTTAGTGCACTGCCGGCCATCCTATGCTACTGCTGGCCATGCCTTTGTTACTGTCGGCCATTGATGAGGCCTGCCGGCCATCAATGAGCCACTGCCAGATCTTTTGAGCCAGCTGGTTTCACTCCTCTCCCCTCCATACACGTGTATAGAGGGATGAAGCTCTTGCCAAGCTTGTTTAATAAGCTTCTTCTTGCATTCTTCTGTATAAGAAGAGGCCCTTCCTCTCTATCAGAGGTTCAGAAAATTTTGGAGAAGTTGTATCTCTCTCTCTATATTTCTCACTCTCTCTCTCTCTCTCTATATATATATATATTGTGTTTTTTTATGCTCTAAAGTCCATTTTTCTTGCACTTTTACACTACAACACATAGTGATACACCACCATCTTTGAGCTGAGGTTCTTGGGAGGGTTACTTGAGCTTTGAAACTTGGTTTCTAGCCTCTGAGGTTACTGGTTTCGAAGTTGATCTTCAAGGGTGAGTATATTCCCCATTTAAGCCTTTGTTTGTATCTCATTTTGGCCATCCTTGCATATTGTTTTAGGCCTTGCTTTCAACTGAAAAAGTTTTTTTTTTTTTTTTTAAGTGCTTTTGATGATTGTTTAAGGTCTTTTTGGTGTTAGAGGTGTACAACCCTCTTGTATGCCTTGTTTGGCCATATTTTGTGCCATGCTTTAAGGCCTTTGGAATAGTATTGGTTTGGCCTTTTAGCTACTAAAATCCAGTGAATTTTCAGTGGTAGGCATGTGGTTTTGAGGCTTCAAATCAGAGGGGGGTGAACCCCTCTCTTTTTGTTTTGTTTGCTTGAGTTATTGGCCTATCAAAGGAGCATGTATCTCTATACTTTTGAGGCCTGGTTCAGGCACTTTTTTTGTGACTTTTAGGGCCTGCCTTAACTCTTTCCATGGCTGGTTTGGTCACCTTGTGCATGCATCTTGTATGTGTAGTGTAATCCCATTTGTGGCTCATCAAAGTAGCATGTCTTGCTAGCATGTATTGGCTCCATTTCAGTGGGTTTTTTATCATCATTTGACATGTCATGACTCTGTCTAAAGTTGGTTTGGTAGTCTCTTGAGTGGCTCATGTACTTATAGAACAAATCTTGCTTACTAGCTTTATGTGCATGATGTTTTGACTCATCATTCTAGCATATTTTGGCTATGCTTCAGCATGATGTTATTTATATTTTGGGCTGTTCTAGGATTTGTTTGGGCTGCCATGGTCATATCACTCATGTTTTGTATAGCTATAGTGTAAATGCTTTGACTAGTCTTGTGCTTTGAGGCCCCTACCATGCTATACTTGTGATGTTTGCATGCTTTGGAATCATTTGAAATGTTATTTCAGTGCATGTTTCATGGTCAAACACTTGCCTTTGTCATGCTTTCAATGCCTTGAAGAGTTGGTGTTTTATGCCTCATGATGGATCATTGTGCATGCCTCTATGCTTAGATCCTTAGGATGCCATCTCAGTGGTTTTTTTGGGCTTGTTTTATCATGCCATAACTCTGTTTTCTATTGGTTAAGTCATGCCATGTTTGGTTGTAATAAGTGTAGTGCAATCCCCTTTGTTGGCCTTACTTACACCATGCTTTATGCTTTCCATTTTGACTTATTTTGGCCTTGGTCTATGCATGTTTTAGATTCATTTTGGCGTGATCTAGGACTATTTTGGTTGTCCTTGGCCCTTTAGGGTTTGATTCATGTGTCCTTGGCTTGAGTCCCTTTGCTAGTTTTATGCTTTGAACATCCTAGCATGCTAATCTTACATTGTTTAGTGGGTTTGGCATCCATTTACATGATATTTCAAAGTTTACCTCATTGCCATCTTATCATGATTGTCACTCTTTGCTCATGTTTGAGAGTTGTGTCTTTATGCTTTAATTCTTGGGCTAATGCATTGTGCATGCATACCTTGCTTTTGTGCTCTCATTCCAACACTTTTGGCTACTGATTTGGGCATATATGAGGTCTGTCCATTTCGGTTTAAGTCCATTGAGCATGGTTGATTACATGTTGTTTGCATGCTTGCATTACATCGCATTGCCTATGCCTTATACTTTGCATTGTGTATGCTTAGGTTACATTGCATTGAGTATGCCATCGTTTGCATTGAGCATGCCATCATTTGCATTGTGTATACTTAGTTGTTGCGTGCATTAGCATTGTGTATGCCATTAGCCTTGTTAGGTTGTTCATATTGCATTATATATTTGCATGCTTGAGTCGCATTGTGTATGCCATGCTTGTATTGCATTGTTGTTTGGATTAAGTCTTAAATCTGAGCACAAGAAACGAGGGACGTTTCATACTTTAAGGGATGAAACGTGTCTCAATTCTCAATCGCCGATGCTCTTGATTATCCATGATAGAGCTCTAGGCATTTATGTGTTTTTGTGCATTCATTTTACATTGAATTTGCACAAGTTGGATCTTTGGCCATCATGTATCGGGATGCATGATTGATAGTCTTGGATCCGACTATGCCTCTCCCTTGATGTTTTGAGGTGATATGAGGTCGGCTACTTAGGGCACACTACATACCCTTGGGAGGCACCCTCCACTTTTCTCTATTTTGTGGCCTGCTTGCGTTTGGGTGTCACAGCCACATCATCGCCGCAGCCTTGCAATGTATGGCCGACAGCCTTTCATTCATTGGCCCTTATGGCAGTGTCTCCACTCTTGGTCGACAGGGGGGTCGGCGGGCTCCCATAGCGGCACCACACTGGTGTATTCCCACAGACGTTTTGTAAGGTTCACGTCAGAATTTCTTGATGGACACCCTGCAAACAGAGGCCCTCTAAGAGCAAACGAAGAAGCTTTTCGGGCGTATCAAACCGAGCAATCGCATCCTTTTCTCCCCCAACAGAAGTTGGCAACAGTCATTGTTTTACTGCTTTCCCTTGCTAATCATAGCATCTGGTTTTTAATTAATTAATTAATTTTGATTATTAATAGTTTGTAATAATTAGTTGTAGCTAGTTATTCATTCGGTTATGTAATAATTAATTATCTTGTTAGTTAGTTAATTAGTTGGTTTGTGTTATTTATTCGGACCCTCCGTCGAGAGGGCAAATTTTGTAATAAGTGTACATGCGTGTGTGCATGTCTTCCAATCCCTATTTCTTTCTCCCTTTTACTTACCTACTTTCAGTGGTTAGTTTTAGGGCATGTTTTGATTAGC